TTCTGAGGTCTTCAAAGGGCTTTGGATTGAGCCTCAAGTTTTTAGGACTTTTCATCACTAGATATCAAAATACTTCACAACAATCTGTACTTTTCATTATTTCTGTTTCATTGATGGGGAAAATGAGGTATAAACAATGAGACAATTCTCTTCCTATCATTAGTGACTCTGTGGCAGTCACTAAAAGTCACTAGTCACTGTAGTAGTCACTACATATATATATAAAATACGTATGTAATATCTAATTATATAATAGTCACTAGTGAGAGGATAGCAGTCAGCTTCCATGACTTTCCCTTTCTGCAATTTCAATAAAGTTTTCTCACAGAGGATGCCTTAGGAAATAATAGTTAAGCTTATTACTCTAGTAATTTTGTTCCCCTTATGATTAAACTCTGAACTAACATGTTATGTATTGCTTGACAGAGGAGATCTGTATATTGATCCTTCACAACTAATGCTAGACGTACTAGTAAACCTCCAAAATCCCAGTGGGCTGTACCTGCCACCACCAACTCTCATCATGGCAGTTCACTTGCAACTTTTTCTATAACCCTTTGATCGTCCCTATCTCTTATTAATCTCAGCTACTTCAAGGGTTAGACAATTCAAATGAGATCCTGTGTTTATTTAGAAGTCTGGGGTTTTTTCTGACAGAATTGTATCTTCTCATCTATGTTCAAAAATAAGTAGTATGCTGTCGTCACCACCATAATATAAATGACTAATTTTAATAAGTTTTTAAAATAAATTTAATAATTTAATAAATACGTTTTTAAAATAAATTTAAATAATTTTTTAAAATAAATTTAATAAGGAGCTAGATCCTTATAAAGTAAATAACAAGAATTTCAAGTGCCCCTGTCCTGTTTCTTGTAAATCATATAATCTGGTTTAAGTGTTGCGACTGGATTGTCTGCATGATATTTAACAGTTAAAGAGAAAGCCTGACACTCTGTCACAGAGGAGTGTTCTCAATAGCTGCTGCTTAACACATACCATGGGAAAAAAAGCTTGTGATTGCCCATTGGATGAGCAACAGCAGTTAATTAATAAATACTATTCTCAAGTGACTTACAAAAAATGAAGTAACCAAAACCAGCCATGTTAATTTGTAGTCTGCTTTCAAGCAAGACGACAAAATCAGTATTTGCTTAATGGAAAAAGGCTATACTTGAGGTAGGCAATCAAAGGTGGAAGGGCTGTGCTCTAGGAAAAACATAAGGCTGGGAATCCAAAAACAGATATTTTCTTTTTAAATTTCTTAAGTTGCCTCACTTTCTTCACTTGCAAACTGGGAAGTTGCTCCTCATGCATGCTCCATGAAGAAAAACAGAGAACAGTTTTCAAGCACTATGGGTATTTCCTGTCTTGTCAGTGAACACTGTGGAGAAGTTTTGCTGGTGACCTGTCACTATCACTGCTGGCAGCAATTCAGCCACAGATAAAATTAAGGCTGCTTCTTAGCACTGTATGAAAAATCTACTTAAATGAAGTGGGAAGGTGAGGAATGGCATTCTGCTGCTGCTATGCACACGTAGCATGTGATGGGTAGAGCCCTTTGATATTCAACTCAACAGATCATAAAAGTGTCATTATCCACAAAATACCTTCTTGGGGGCTAAAAAATGAGAAGAATGAAAAAAAATTATTTCAAATTCAAAAAATGGCTTTTTGGGAGGATATTGTCCTATTATTGCCATGTGGCAGCTGTATTTATCCACATCCATTGTTGAGAGTGATCATCTTGTTAACATTTTTATACTATAACCACATGCTATAGGAATGCTGTGTAGGAACATTTTATTAAAAGCTGTGTGGCCTACTTTCTATAAAACACTCATACCTTTTAAAACCTCTAGAGGTGAATCACTTCCTTAGTAGGGACCACTGACTTCAGCAGGACTGTTAAAGTTTCATTAGTTTTGTTTTCATGTCAGAGGTTGGTGGATTGTACAGCATTTTTTAAATCCACAGCCTTTGAATAACATAACTTCAACCATCTGATATTTGAATTTGCTGAAAGCTGCTAATAAATTACCAGAGCTAAGTATGCTTCCCACACCAAAATAAAACTCACTAAGAATGTATTTGACTAAAAAGATATTCCGCTCCAAGGTGGAGGGAGGTAAGAGGAGACAGCTAAATAATCAGTATATTACCACTTACAAGCACTACCCTGCACCCCAGGAACCTGGATTTTGACTCTGATATTGCTTCATAATCAAGAATTGTTCCAAGGTGAACCATCAGACCTCAGCTACATAGAGTAGGGCCAAATCCTGAGGGGATGTAGGAGTATGGGAAGAGATGGCAAACAAAACAAAGCTGTGCAAATAAGTGGGTTGATACACACCGACAAAGATGTAATCAAAGAAAGAACTGGTTTGAAGAGTTTTTCTAAGCTAGGTTATGATTAGATCATCAGAAAACAGAACACAGTGAGAACTGCGTTTTAAGTAAATGGAGAGGTTGTCTCATAGGTACAGGAATTTGACATTAAAAGGCCCAGAATATGCTGAGTTGGAAGGGGCCTACAAGGATCATCAAGTCCAATGCCGATGGCAATAAACTGATGGCCTGATCCTTAGTTACACTGAGGGTTGTTTTTCTGTTTTTTTTTTTAAGTTCCTTGTGAGCATAAAAAGGGTCTGAAATGTAAATCATTATTTGTGTGAATATCATACACAACTGGAAAGAAAGGGGAGCTCATTGAGACAATCAGAGGTTTATTCTGCTGTCCAGGATCTGTTATGCACCTCTGCTAAAGCAGAGCATGATCTTGGTAGGGTGGTAGGAGCAGTAAGAGGGGCTGTACAGGCTTGTGACACATTTAATTGAATGTTTTGGTCTACAGGATCTATACTCAAATTAAGATCATTCAGTTATGCTGTAATAACTGGGAATGAAAGCATCACCAGAAAATACAGGGACATTTTTTCTGTTGTAACCAGCTATGTGCCTCTAATTTCATTTGTTCATACCTATGGAATGATTCCGTTCTTGGTTTAACAGGGAATATGGAATATTTGGGTGAAGTATTAACCCTTTTTGATAAACAGCAAAACCTTTATTCAATTTAGTGGAAGAAGAATTTTATGTCACCACTGTCAAATGGCAGTATCAATAGCTCTCTCCTTGGCAGGAATCTAATCGTGGCTTAATTTATTTTGCTGTTTGCTCCACCTTTTTCATGTTTTTAGTTATTTCCTTCTTCCCCTCTCTGGATCTCCACTAAGCAGTATTACAAAACATATATACAAAGATGGCAAAGTTAAAAATGCACTTCAGAATGTTACCATTGTATACTCTATGGTTATAACCAGGGTATTATGCATGGAAAGCATACAGTATTCCTGAGACAGGAACTCTGATAACCCGATCAATCATTTTCTGTACATCATGTACACTATTTAAGTGAGTGGAAAGCTAAGTATTATTTTCTTGAGGTTAAGTGTATGTCAAGAAGAAGAAGAAGAAAAGTGTTTTTCACTATAAATACACAATAGATTTTCCAATTATCTATTTAACATTGTCTCCATTAAAAACCTTCAGTAACAGATCAGAAGAAGTCAGGGAAAATAATTATCAGAAATAACACTTGTGAAGAAAAGGAATAGAAGAGAGATCTACTAGGCTTTGGTGATTTGATTCCTGAGAGTCAAAGGAAAGATACAACACAGCTGTAAAGAAAATGGATTTTTCTTTATCTATATGCCACTATTTAAATATTTATTTCTTATATATTAATAATTTGAAGAAAGATGGTTGATATTTTCAAAAACTTTAAACGTTGGTCTAAATATTTTCCTACCAAAATCAATAATGAAACTCCTAACGACTTCACTGGCAGCAAGGATAAGCAGCTGCTTCTGAAAGTATTATTTTCAGGGAGCTTATTTTTTGGTACATGGAGGGAGAGGGTTATTTTGAAAATGAATCTCATCTGTAGTTTTTTTCATCATGAAATTACGCAAAATATAACAAGTTAAAAAAGAATAGCACTTCTGTTTCCAAAAGAACTACAAATCTTTAACAGTGAGAAGATATGGCATAAACAAACTTATTTACTGTGTCTTTACAACACAGCGAGTGAGGCAGCCCAAGAAAAACACAAAGAAGCTTCATATTCAAGTGACAACCCATATATCCAATATGTACATAAATATATTACATTTTCTTCCGGATTGTATTTCATGAAAATGTCACTATTTATGCAGTAATCTGTTCCTTCACTGTTTTTGCAAAATTATTCTCTAAGGTACTTGAAACAAATGTTGCATTGACATTTCTGATGAAAGTCTCTTAAATAATAATGGAAAAACATTCATCAGGCATGAAATGTGAGATCAAAATACAAATGGCTTGTGTTCTATTAATTTTGTTCTATTGTCCCCTGAAACTTATTTTTTCTTTAAATTAAAATACAAGTAGACCAATTATATCCAAGTTATATGTCCTAGTTTTGGTCAGGACAGGGTTAATTTTTTACAGTAGCTGTGAGGGGAGCATGGCCAGACTCTGTTATTTGGCACCATCTCACATCATAGCCAGGGCTGGAAGGGACTCTGGCTGCTGAGAAGAAGGGTGTGGCTTCGGGTCCCCATGAGAGGGGAAGCTGTCTGCCGTTGTTCATTGTCGCCTGGGGTTGAATTACTCTCCATTTCATATACTTTTGTTATTAATATTGTTGCTCTTACTGTTCATTTTCTTATCTCACTGCTGTTTCCAGTAAATTGTTCTGCCTTTTTAGTTTCCCATCGGAGGAGAGAGGGGAGTGCCTCGCAGGGGTTTTTTTTTAGTGCAAGTACTAAATTGGGAATACTACTCCTAAACTATGACAGTATGACTGTGTATCATTGTAATACAGTTTATATAGAAGAATGTCACTAAGATTTGGACATGAGAGACTTTTGCAACATGTCAGTTTAAGTAAACCATTTGGGATGATGCTTCTTTAAAAGGAAACACACACCACAGAGAGCGGATGTGAAACTTACTGCTACATCATCTTCTGGTGACCCATGACCAATATCTGGAAGCAGCTGTGGTATGAGAGAAAGTAGAGGTATATTACTGAGATTCATGCAATTGTAACAGCCTAAGGAAAATAATACCAAAATACCTGGGTAATATCACAGATATAGAAAGACAATAGGAGTACAAAATTATTCTGTGTATGAGTTCATACTGTCAGCCTGGCTAATTCTTTTTCTCTAGTGCCCCACTGCCCTGATCACCAATACTATGCATGTGGTTGATCCCATCCAGGTTCTTCTCTGCAGTGAGGAAATTAGTGCCCTTTGTGACAGTTTGTCCCAAGGTCTGCTGTCAACATAATACTATGGGCAGATCCCATCAAGTGTGGCTCTTCCATATTGAGACAGTCCTCCAGTGCTACCCCAGAAGGCTTTGTGCCTTTGCATGCTTCTTTGTGTCTCCTTCCTAGATAGGAAAAATCTCAGCATAATGCAAGGCACCCACCTGACCAACAGAACAACTATCTTCACATCATTTCAGGTACTTAAAATTGGAAACTCAGAAGAAAGCAATGCCTCAAGACAGCCTGCAGCAATCACCTTGGGAACCAGGATTCTCTTGCTGGTGCAACCTATAACAAGAATACAGATAGAAATGTCTTGATAATTCAGTAATGAAAAGGACTCCATTATGCCAGTTGATCATAATGAACATGAAAAAGAGTTCTAATAAAGTCACATTGTAAGATAGATAATTTATAAAAATTATCTTAACCTAGACTGAAGTTTTAGAACTTAGAATACTGGATTTTCAATTTCAAATTCCAGAAATGTTAATAAAACTATTAAATCCTAGAGTCAAGATTTGGGATCCTACCTAAATATCTATTTTCTTTTAAGAACTGGTCTCACTTAGAGACAACACTTCTCAATACATACGAAGGAAGTACAATTGCTAAAAACTGACAAAACTTAATATGAACATGGAGATTAAATTTAAGTGTGTTCTTGAGACTCTTGGACCAAACAACATCTTAAGACTTCTTTAACCACAATGGAATGTGACTCTTACTAGAAACAAACATTAATGCTGCCTTAAAAAGATGAAACTAATGAATAACCAGCTAGGAGGAACATATAAATGTGAAGTGGAAACTCTTAAAGGAATAATGAGGACTCTATAACAAGACAGCAAACCCTGGTGGTCTAGTGGTTAGGGTGCAGGACTCTCACCGCTGTGACCCGGGTTCGATTCCCAGCCCCCCGGGCAGATGGAGCTCGTCAGCCCTGTGTGGCAATCCATCTAAGAGAAGGTCACTCTAAACAAACCTACGTCCTGAGTCCCTCACTGCCACTGTCCAAGCTTGCTCGGCCCTGGCAGATGAACCTCAGGATTAAAGGGTGGGCTCAGTTCAGCGCACACTGTGTCTCACCTTAAAAAAAAAAACAAAAAAAAAAACAAAAACAAAAACAAAAAACAAACCAAAAATCCACTGCGCAGGCTCGAAGGGTTAATGACCTTTCCCAAATCTTCGCTCACGAAGACTGGCCATTATTATTAAAACATAAAATATCCTTGAGAAAGACATGAAAGCATTTATTTTAAGTATATGTATATATACATATATATATATATATTGATCTTTATATTTTGTTTCAAAGAGAAAAAAATCAGTGGCAGTAACTTAAATTTTTAAATTTGTAAAGTAAAACCTAGGAATCATAACAAAATAGAGGGAGCACCAAAAAAAAAGCCAACCTTAGAAGAATTAAAGACAAGAAGTGTTTTAATTCTTTTAGGAAGGGGAAGGAATCCTATAAGTGGAATCACAGCTGTAAATGGTAGAGTTATTCACAATAATGAAATAAATATAAAAGACATTAATATGTTTCATTAGTTTAAAGTAATAGAGCCATGTCCCACCAAGCACAAATTAAGAGAGATGGTAACAGATTTGAGGTATAGCAAGTAGGATGTAAAACATGTGAAGCAATCAGGGGCATCTTTCTATCTGACTTAACAAATAACTAAGAATTGATTTAATGTTAGGATACAAGTACTCACATGGGGAACGGAAATCTTTTAATACAGAACTTCCAAAAGTTGCTGATGGATGATGCCATAGTGGACATAATGGAGTGGCTCAAAGCTGAGGTAAGGCAAACTTAAATTTGCCATAGGGATAAGAAAAACCCATTATGTACCAAGTCCTGCATTATTAGACCTAAGGGGTGCTTATCAAACCTGGTAGGACAGCCACAGCAGAGCAGCTTAAAACAGGAAAAAAGAAAGATCTTCTTTAAGTGGCAGGTAGGTGGCTTTTTGGTTTCATTGTCTTAAGAGATTTTGGAGGCAAGCAGGACCAGCAGGTCCAAATGAGACAAATTCATCAATAGCACGTTCACTAACAGATGGCAGAAGGGCTGTGCCTTCTATCATCCCTAATTCTATTCCAGTAGATGCTAAGGTAAGACAAGGAAGTGGAGCTCAGTACATGCTCTCCCCAAACAGCATCTCTTATCACCACCATTGAAGATCAAGCACTAAATTATATGGACCACTGTTCTGACTGCTTCTTTTGTGTTCTATATTTTTCTACCAGTGAGTAAAACTGCCCTTGAAATGACTTACCAGAAATACAGGGAGTTCTGTGTGATTGGAAATGTTATGTCAAGGTATGGGGTTTTTTAAAAAAAAGGTACAAAGAAGAACTAATTTAGGTAAATCTCATGGCCCATGTTAGGAAGGAGTTCAGATTAAATCACAGAGCTATTCCTGTCTGGCTTCATAATCTACAAATCTATGGAATTTTCTTATAGTATAATAATTTTTCCATTTCAGACTTGCTCCTTTTCTACAAATCTCTTTATACATTTAACTATAAAGTTTTTAAGACAGTCCCTTATTTTATTTATAGCCCTTGTTTACCTTTAATAAATAGATAATTGTACTGGCTTTATGTTGTTTACTGTTCTTCAAATTTTTTCATCTTCTTTGTGTGTTCTACTCAGCACAAGAAGGCATCTTTCAGTAAAGCATGCCTGAGAGTGAAGACAAAGAAAGGGAGCAGAAGAAACCCAGACAGGGAGGGAGGGTCATAGGAAGACAGAAAAGACTAAGTAAAACATTATTCCTGAAGTATTTGAAAATAATTCACTGCATTTTGAAAAAGTCTTTAAATCTCAGGAAATAAAGATCAACCATTTTAAAGGTTGATAAACCATTCATAATAACCTTTCTGATATTTCTCATTTTTATAAAAATAGCTGATCATTTAATTTAATTTAAATACCCTGCAGTGGTGGGACATAGTGGTAATGAATACCTCTATTTCTTACCTTGTCTTTTTGGTGATATTCCAAATTAAACAGCAGTCATCTTTAGTGCCAATTGAAGAAGGCATTTACTATGATGCCCACATGGTACTCTAGGTTTTACATTTATCATTGAAAATTTTTTATAGTCGTTGTTCAGTAAGAAATATTATAAACAAATTTTAGAGAGGGATTAGGAAGCAAAAAGTAAACAACTGCAAAATGATATAATGCTAGCAAGTGAAATAGGATTGTTTTTAAAGGGTTGTTCCTGAACATATTCAAGATTATAATTATGTAAGCTATAGTACAAACTGAAAGTATCTTCACAGAAATAATTCTTTGATCACAAAGGGGGAAAAAAAAGAAAAGATTTTGCAAATTTATTTCTACAAACAATCAGAAAGAGGAAAATCTTTGAACTTCTATTGTATTGTCAGCATTAGCTACGTTTTATCCAGTATAGTGTTTTTAAATGCTATTAACTTAGAGACAACCCTGCTTTTTTTTTTTTTACTGAAGAAGTGGTGGTGAGAGTGGCGAGAGATAATTCACCTGAACATTTTGTTGGATGAATCAATCCTACTTGAAAGCAACTGAGAGCTCTTGGAGACTGAAATACAGTAATATACCAATTGGCGTGGATACTGCTACTTCTTATGTTTCACAGCGGTCAGGGAGAAAGTGTGTTAAAGCAAGAGATAAAAATTCTAACTATTTGAAATCTGAATGTTGGTCAAGATCCAGGTTTCAATGCTAATTCTGTTTTCTATGGTGAAAAATAAACCAGAAATTCCCGACAGACTTGAATTTCTAAAATTCAAACTGAATAGAGTTATCAGCATCCTGTTAGAAATGTCCTGCAGAATTCCTATCAGCTGGAAGCTCTGCATTAAAATAGGCAGTAAGAACATTAAAGCCATCATGGTATGGTTAAAATATTTATATAAAGACTTGTGAAGGGTGTTATTTTTGGTGAACCAAGTTAAAACTAAATGATAAAGTAGAGCCAGCCCATCACGCAAGACGGATCAGAGCCAAAATGCTCTACCTAAAAATCTCGCCAGGAATCCCAAACCTATACCTCTAGTAGAACTGACTTAATCCAAACTTCAGTTCTGTGTGCTGACAGACACAGAGAGACTAGGTTTTAAGGCTAGGACAGAACATTTACTTCCCTTAGGCAGTGCTGTATTTTCCACTTATGCTGAACTACGCTTTAGCTGGGATGTTCTCAGGCCCAAATCTGTAGGATGCTGAGTATTTAGTGGGAGGTACTGAAAGACTTTAAAACCTAATGATGTCATTTCTTCTTGATGGCTTTCAGCACTTCTGGAGGATGAGTGTGGGAGGGGTGGCAGAATCAGATGTCGACATATTAAATTTTTATTCCTGACACAATAAAAACCCATAATTACAGCAGATTGAATTTGTACCTTAAGTGTAAACAAGAAAAGAATTAGTTTTGCACCATTCTGCTGGAAATATGCAGCACCCTATAAGTAAATCACATTGTTTATACCACTTCTGTGTGCAGTGAAAACAAGCACAGCTGTTCCTTGACTGCTCTGTTTGTAAAAAATGAACAAAGGTGCACTGTTAGCTGTTATAATAGCAAAGTTTACAAGATCTGCCATCCTTTTCCTTACACTGTTTTTCTTGGTACTTAAAAGGTCTGTTATTAATGTTCATTCCAGTTTAAAAAGTGCCACAAAATACCTCTGATGATGTCAAAACAAAAAAAAAAAAAAAAAAAAAAAAAAAAAAAAAAAAAAAAAAAAGAAAAAAAAAAAAAAAAAAAAAAAAAAAAATGAACCCTGAAA